GCTTGGGTACCTCTGTCCCATTCGTGTTTCAACCATAAAGCAGTTGTGTTTGCATGGCTGTGTTTCGGTTTGAAGGGTGGGATATAGCGTGAATTTACAGGGTACAGAGGAATAACACCTAAGTCCTCAGGAATGGCAATGCATGGGGGGTATCATGGGTGAAACAGTATACTATGTTTTGTCCATGGTACTGTTCATGTCTATAGGCGACAGTTACTACTTTCCTGTAGATGGGCCGTCAGCTTGTTTGCCACTCTAAGTTGTATAAAAAAAAAGAAAAAAAGTAAGACTACAAAGCACTTACATTGGTCCCTACAATGCGTAAGTACAAAGCGCCAAACATGAAGCAGAAGAAGCAAAGTTTAATTTTTTTTTTTACCAAGCTGCTTGGCCAATCTGATCTATGTATACCCTTATTTTAACAGAAGAAACCAATGTCCAGTGGTTGTAAATTAATATGTTGTTAAGGAAAAATAAATAATTGTAAACCTATACTACCAATATAAATAGGAAATATTTGTTTGCTTGTGATAGATAAACTTAAAAATTACTCAAACTGACTTCAAAAATTCTTTCATCTATAGAAAGCTAAGTTATTAGCGAGTGTAGGCTATATATTTGTTTTTTTTTTAATTCTATCTACCCTTACCAGACCTTTATAAAGTTGCTGAAGAGATTTTTCTTACAGGATTTATATTTCAGCCATGTTCATATTTTTTCACGATTCGTGAATGTATGTATGTATGGTCGCATCGTACAATCCGTTAACGATGTAAGTGTCTCGTTAACAATGATACTAACAGTGATATTATCACATGTTTACTTAATCAGAGTTCACTGGGTTGCATTTAACTGAATCATGCAATGCTCAGTGCATAGGCACGTAATCAACTGAACCCAATTACCTGTATATATCTCATATTTATACCTATAATAGGTACTTGAATATAGTTATGTGGGGGAAAGGGATTGTTAGTAATGGAGACTGAGAATCCCATTGCTAGCAACATACCCAACCAGGTCGACCCCCTCGCGGTTCTCCTTGGAAACGATCATGGTAAATTCCTGATGAATTCATCATGATGGGCTAACTTACCTGTTTTCATTCTCATCTGTCACCCTTCACTAGTGCTCCGCCAGCGTATCCCGTTAGCGCAGGCGGGGTTACCATACCATTTTCACCCATCAAAAAAAAATGTTATGATATTGAATTTTGCACTTATAAAATTTAGCAGAATATTTAGAAGAGAAAAGATTTTCACCTGTCAATGCGACCTCCACGCAGTCCACGGAAATCGTCTGATCAATTCCTCTGAAATTTGTCGCAATGAACCGACTGATTGCAATTGCGAAATTCCATTTTCATCCATTAAAAAAATTATACAGCAAAAGAATAAATCACAACTTACTAAATATTTTTTTTTTATTTACAATCCAGAAAAAAAAAACAATACGTCAACGTGTGAATAAACCTTTAGGACGTAGTATTGAACGAAATTATCTCTTCATGCACGAAATTCCAAGGATCAGACACAGTTTTTACAATATTTTTAATTTCGTTCACAGAGTAATTTAGCTTTTTTTTATAATATATTAGCGAGGTGCTCTAGTTTGACTTAGGTGCAATTTACTTCAATTTTTACAAATTTTATATATTATGGTAAGTTTCATTTATAAAAATCTTCATTAAAGACATGTAAACGATAGTGAAATTTGTACAAAAACTCGTTTAGTGGTTTAGAAGTGAGCTTCAGAACAGACGGACACAGATAGTGACTTTGTTTTATAAGAATAGATACTATTTACAGATTATTTCACTACTAAATCCTATTTTAAATTGTCTCTTTGAGATGAGGGTCACGAACTTCAGAGAGTAGGTACGTTAAGTCCCTAATCCCGTTCTCATTTATTTAAAAGTCGTAAAAACATTTTGGCTTGGTGAGGTTTACTTTGACGGCACCGTAGTTCTCTGTTTTTGTTTAACCTGGATTTTGTCAAAAGAGTCTTATAGTAAAATTTATTTTAATGATAAATATAGACTAGATAAAGCTAGACGACGCAGTATGTACCTAGGTCTACATATTTATTTGTTTGTAACACTTTTTTGTACAGTAAAGTCTTAAATTATAGGATACAGAGTTCTTAAGAAAACTATGAGTACAATGACTTGTCCCATAAAAGGGATTTCTTCCAGTCAACCTTTGAATGTCTAATAGAAATTGTGAATTGGTCTAGAAATAATGACTAACATTAACATATTTATTCATTTAAACTTTATTGATCAGTGAAATATGGTAAAAACGGAAAACTAATAAAAACTATTTTAATAGACAGAGGAGCAAAATATAAGAAGTTTAAATATTATATATTCGATTTAATTAATGCATTCACTACCAGCCAACCTTTGAAATGTACAGAGATACTCATTGGCGGTTGATACGGAATTACTACTTACCTGTATCTAGTAGCGTAACTATTGCATCTGGCGTCAGCAGCACATTCATCGGATACGACATTTCTATTATATAAATACCACCACCACCAGAGGGAGACTTTGTACAAAAGTCGTTTGCTTGGGTGCCTCAGTCCTATTCGTGTTTCAACCGTAAAGCAGTTGTGTTTGCATGACTGTGTTTCGGTTTGAAGGGTGGGATATGGCGTGAATTTACAGGGTACAGAGGAATAACACCTCAGTCCTCAGGAATGGCAACGCATGGGGGGTATCATGGGCGAAACAGTATACTCTGTTATGTCCATGGTATTGCTCATGTCTATAGGCGACGGTTACCACTTTCCATAAGGTGGGCCGTCAGCTTGTTTGCCATTCTAAGTTGTATAAAAAATATATATATTTGTAATTTATATATCTAAATTATATATTTATATTTTTTTTTAATCTATGCACTGCCTATTACTTTCCCTGTTAAGCATAACAATTGACTGGTACAGAATGCCATCAGGCATTAGGTCCGCCCTGTAGACATATTTTATGTATGCAAAAGTATAAATTAATAAATAATTTTCAATGGATAAAATATTGCGCAGCTTTCCTTCGTCTTGATAGTTTATTTGTATAATTCGTGTATGTTCTTGAGTTAATACTCTAGTTCTTAAAGTAATTAAATATTACAAATTTATGTAATACATAAATATAAGGTTCATTCAGTGCTCAGGACCTCCTAGACTAGGACCTCCTCAGGCCGGGGGCCGGTAGCATTTTATACGCTCTGCCACCCTAACAAAATCTACTAACATAATATATACAGTGGTATAAACCACTGTCTATATGAAACGAATTGGTTCCACAAAAAAAGAATCGACTTCAATCGGAACAAAAAGAAATTAGGTATTTTAGAATTTTATTGATTTATTGATGAATTTTGTATGGGAGCTATCTGAAAATATATTCGAATCGGTATTTTCCTTTTGTATTTTTTAAAAACCGAATTAAGAACATTTTTTGAAGTGATTTGAAATTAACTTCTAGAAAGAGCAGGTTCTCAATTCATCAGCATTACATCTATATCTTATACGATAGGTGTCTATACCAAATTGGACCTCAAATTTGGAAAATCAAAATTTTGCAATCTTGTACAAAGATAACGTTACAATGGTTACTAAAAGTAAGAAAAAAAACGATTTTTTTTTTCTCTTTGCTAAATTTTATTTAAAATCGAATAACCTTCAAAATATATTTTGCAGTATATTTTTATACTTGTACTTCATGTTATTTAATTGAATTTTATTTTATATTTAAGTATTATTTTCATTTTTTAATCGTATTAACACTTACCGAATAGTAGATAGATAAGATTTGACGCACGCGAACCTCATAACTGTAATAATGCCTCAAACGATATCTTTTAACTAACAAAAGATATAGTTTTATTTTTATAGTAATCTGTTTAGCGAACATTGTTGAACACTTAATATATATCGAATTTTAGGTCGAATTTTAAACATATCTAATAGGTATGTTTAAAATTCGACCCATCGTGACGAATTCTACGATGATGTCCAAGAGGAACCGCGTGGAGATCGACCTGTAAGGGTATATTTCTAGCAATGGAACTATTAAATCGCATTACTGACAATCTTTTTCCCTCTCGCCTAAACATTACCTTTATGTAACCATTATTATTCCTATTAAAAAAAAATATAGCCCATTGCCTAGCAATGCCCTAGATTAGAGGACATTGTGATCAGTTTATATTCTCTTAATTTATTAAGACATGTTTTTATCCTAATTGTAGCAGGTAAGACCGCGAGACAGAGCTAGTAATCATAAATTTTCAATTTTAACTGGACGCTGAATTTTTATATTTATGGTAGACCATGGACATATATAATAGTAGTCACACTACTCGATTACTAGTAGTAATCTAGTAGGAGAGTAGATATTAATGCAAAAACACGTTTTAATATAGACTAGAGGGTGTTGTATTCTATCTAGTTAAGAAGCGGGGCGGTGGTCCAAAAAGGTTTGTTAGGTTGGGACCCACTGAAAGAAAAGACGGATGATTACTTTGAAAAATATAAAAGTAGCTCAAAAATAGATCACACTGAAGATAGCACATTTCTTTTGAAATCGATCGGATAATACAAGCACAGGGCTTGTCATTCACTGACGTCGTGTCCGCGGTCCATACGCATGCGCGTCTAGCCAACGTCTATCCCGCATAGATATAGATGAGTGTTGGCTTGTACATATTTTCTTAGCTAATGCCGATCTTTTCATTTTAGTTGCATTATTTTACAGTCCGGATTCCCGTTAGAATTGTTATCTCATATTTGTCGCACCATCATATAGATAACGTTGCCGTTAGTATAATATTTTGTCAATTATGCGATAATGAGATTGCTGCACATATTATATAAATGAAAATTAAATTGCGACAAAAGCATGCTGTAGATACAGTCATCTATCCATAGTTGTAGTCGTATAACGTGAAGTTAGTGACGCACGAAACGCGCAAGCAGATTGGTATCGTGTGTTGCTGGCTTCAGTACAGTCAGTCAGAAAAGCGGACTCGAACCGCGCGGACGCGCGGCACGTCGGTGCTTGTAGTTTTTTAGTTTGACAGTTGGCGCGTTTTTGGTTTCGGTTCAACTAGATATTTGATGTGAAAATCATAGATTTTAAGTTAGTGTAATCTGTGTATTTTCTATTTACTTCTAGTGTACAACTAGTCATTGTGAATTTTCCACGGCCGGCTGTGAATTGAGTGGTTGCGCTTGTGAACTATCGTCTTGCGTTTTTGTGCAGATTTTGTGATTCCAACATTGGAATATTGCTTCTGGGAGGTGAATATTCTGCTGCCGGGAACGACAGAGGTATGAAGTCATATTATTAATACATACTAATGCGATTGTCTTGCACGGGTGAAAATGTTTCTGTGCCAGCAAATTTCTCCTGCACACTCGAAAAACGGGTTCCAATTATAGCTAGTTAGGTTGTACGTGTACATGTTTGAAGGCGATGGCTGAGTAGTTATCGTTTTTACAGTCATTGAGTTGCAAATAGTGATATTCCGTTGGCCGGGCTCCGATGTGGCGGACAGCTGTGAATACGTAACGTGTAAAAATAAATAGGCGAACATTATCGGCCAGTAGACATACCGGCTTTGCTGAGGACAAGGCGGTATTATTAGTGCATAGTGCTTATTCCCATTATACAATACCATGCAGAAGGCAAAGGTTTTATGATGGAATGATTTAATACGAAAATTGTATAGGTTATGGTTTAGGAAATTATGACATAATGCCATAATGTAAAGATAATTAAGTAATTAAATTTATATTATAGTATTCAACATTAAGTGTTTGTTTGCAATTGGTCAAATATAAATAGTTATAATGGCATCCTAATTATGTAGGTATATATAGACAGATAAATAAAACAAAATAGATCTTTAAGTAATATGCATGAAGGTAGGTGACAGAAAACAGTATTTGTATTATTAAGTATCTACTATTCACAAATACAGTTCCTTACTGCGCTGAGAATATACACAGATTGCAATTATAATTTACACAGATAAGTAATAATAAATATTGACTCAAGCTAAATATTGACAACAGTACTGCAATGGTACTCCATGTGGTGATAGACTAGAAATACAGTATTTCATCCATCTTATATATCCACAATATGGGAAAAGACCAGGGAAACAAGACAGTGCAAAATAAAGAAACATAAAACCATAGTTTAAACAGCCTACTCATTGTGGTAATAATAGGCTATAATTGCCTACTATTGCTCTTTTACATAGGCATATTCAAGGGAGGGGCTAGGTGTACTGTGTCCATCCTAGAATTGTCAGGTGCCCACTCCAACAATGTGCTTCATAAAGACATGTCTGAGAGTACATATGCACCCTTTATAAGGGCTCAAGTCTGCCTGAAAAGTAATTGTACCAATGCTCTTTTATAAAAAAAAAACTCGTGTCCAGCACTACGATGTTAAGGATGATGACTGCAAAGATTACCGCAGAGTGTAAAATTAGTTTCCTATGCTGCTCTGTGTTAGCGTGTAATATTATGTTGATTACCACTTTCATTAGATTAGCTCAACTTGCTTATTATAACATAGTAACAAGTTTAAAAAAATTATAATTAAAAAATAATTCACTTAATTTTAATTCATTATTCATATTGCCCAACACATGTACTTTCAACTGACTTAAAAAAAGAAGTTCTAACTTTAGTTGTGTATTTTTTTTGTTTTATGTCTATTACCTTATAACTGTCAATTGTAAACCGATTAGAAAAATTCCTTTTTTATCTAAAAGGATAATTACGAATTGATCCAATAGAAATTTTATTAAAATTGATTCAGTTGTTAGTTCAGTTTTGTCACAATTTAAGTCTTGTTTTTTTGTAGGACACAGTCGTTAATAAAAAAATAATAATTGCTCCATTATAATTAAAAATCTTTTAAAAATTAATATGTTGTTTTTATAAACCTTGTCAAATCAATATCTTAATTAAAATGGTAACACTTGCATAATGTAATAATTCTAAATTTCAAATTATATCTCTAGACTTAAAATTTTTGAAAGTAATCATTTAACAAAACTGTTATGTTATAAAATATTAAGAAGGATATTTAGTTTAATTCTAATTCTTAATAAATTTAGTTTATACTAATTCTTAGATGATTATAGTTTATAACTTGTTTATAATTGTCTTGAGTATTTTTTAATTTATTTATTTATTATTACAGGAACCTTTTTTCAAATGTGTTGGTGTAGGATATGTGTAATAGAGTGTATATAAATTATGTAATGTAATAATAATATACAATAATATGTAATAGACAAATATAGTATTTATACATTACTTTCCATCTAAAAAAAAATATATTTTGTGTATGTCAGTTGATAATATTTTAAATAATCCACAATTATGTCTAGTAATATTTGTTGGTCATCGTTTGAACAAATTCATCAAATTGGCAGTCTATTTTCATCTACTCCTAGTTGTGACTAATTAAAAATATATAATATCATAATAAAGTAACCTTTATTTCTCTTTTATTAATTTATTAAATTATTAATTTGAAAATATGAATAGGTATTGCCGTTACATTAATTTTCTGACAATTATTAATATTTTTTTAATAAATTTTAAAAAAGGATGTGGAATAAATTTGTGTAACATATTTATCAATTAATTAATAGGCTTCAGTGTCTTACCACCAGACTGACCAATATGGTAGTATACCACCTTTGTGATATTAAAACATTTTCTTTTGTGTAACTACTTTTATGAGACATTCAATTCTGATTAATTTTACATTCAGATTTACTTCCATGTTGATTTGGTATTAATTTGTCATTATTGAAACACTTTTTTGTGTAATATATTAATAACCTTATTATTTAACAACTAAATTTGTTGGCCAAACATGACTTATATTATTTTAAATTAATGTTTAAAAAGTACTGGCTACTTGTATTAAAACAGAATCCAACATCAACATAAAAAAAAAACAGTTTAAATATAAATTCGGATCAATGTTTTTAAACTATCAGTTTACAAGTTTTATGTGAAAATAAAAAGTGTTGATGAACACAGTATGGGACTTTTTTAGTAACTCTAAATAGCATAGTGATGGACATTTATTGCTATGCTGTATTTTTGAATGTTGGAAGTATAGATGTAAGTACAGACTAGTATTTTTATATCAGTGTTAAATATAAAAATGTTATAAGTTCGAAAAAAAAAATTTTTGATTAAATATCACTTAGCTTCTTGTACTCACAGTACAAATGCTGCATAGTTTGGGAGTAGATGGCGCTGTGAGATATATTCTGCATCATATTTTAAGTATAAAAAAGAAAAAGAAGGAAAATCTTAGTCACCATTATGTAATTACGAAATTTCATATAAACGAGGTCACAGTAAAGGTTTACGCACAAAAAAAGTAGCCGGTATGTAGGTACTATTTACCTCCGAAAACAATTTATCGTATTAGGTTTGATAATGTATTTGTAATATGTGTAGACAACGGGAAAATTTAAAATTAACTAGTCTAGTCGTTTATTAATAGGAATAACACATTGAAAAGGTGACTGCAAATGTTTATACACACACAAATAATCAGACGGTTATTGATAATGATAATTACTGCCCACTTACTAACAACTTACGATAATAATTTCTGATAATACACATATTAAGTGAACAGAGATAGCGATCAAATTAATAAATGTAGGTCGCTAGATTAATCGAGTTGGTAACAATTTTTTTTATTTTATTTTAGAGATATTTATTATGTAACTGGCGATTCGAACTCTAAAATAAAAATTAAATACATGTGTGTATTTTTTTTTTTAATGTAGACTACATATGAAACAGATTTCCTATTTTTCTTAATGGGTCAAGCTACAGAATATTAAAAAAAAAACAGGATGTGTAAAATTAAGGATCTTAAAAGAACGAAAAAAAGAAATTATAAGTTTTAATGATTTACTCCTGTATCTGGCGCTAAGGAACCAAGCTAAATGAGTGATGGAACGAAATAGAAGAAACGCTAATTATGTCCACCAAATTAGGGGGATATCGTAACATATGTGGGTCTTTTTTTATGAGTGAAAATGGTATGGTAAATCCGCCTACGCTAACGGGATACGCTGACGGAGCACCAGTGAAGGGTGATTGATGAAAATGAAAACAGGCCAGTTAGCCCATCATGATGAATTCATCAGGAATTAACCATGATAGTTTCCAGGGAGAACCGCGAGGAGGTCGACCTGGTTGGGTATATTGCTAGCAATGGAAATCTCAGCCTCCATTACTTACAGTCCCTTTCCCCCCAGCATATGTGGGTCAGCAACACACATGTGACACTTCTAGTGTTGCATGCGTCCATAGGCTAGTGACCGTTTACCATAAGACGAGCGTGTATGTTTGTTTTCCACCTACGTTGTATAAAAAAATATAACAGTAATTTTACAGGGTACGAAAGCATAACATATTGATCTTGACGAGAATGACAACGCCCTTAATTATGTCTCATTGTGCTGTCTATCCCCTCGTGCTGATATCGATGGAGCTGTTCATGTCTATGGACAGCGAATACCATTTTTTAATAAAATGAAACGTCATGTTTTTTGTCCAAGTTACATAATAATAAATATTGTTTTTAAAAAAAAAAAAACGCCGACTTCAGTCTTGGCAATATCAATTATTTTTTATTTAAAAACTAAACTACTGAATTGATTTTGATAAAAATTTTATGAGATCAATCTGAGGATAGATCATTTCAGATTAAAAAAAATAATTTTCCAAATCGGTTATGAGTTCTTAATATTAAAAAAAAAACAATGGAATCGAATATCTCCTCCTGTTTTGAAGTCTTTAGAAATACAGCATTTATCAAGATTTACAATTATTATTATGCGAATTTATACGAGTACTTGTCGCAACAACCAACGTCAATTATCGTCCCACTGTGGGGCGCAGAGTTTTCCCATAAAGAGCATCCATCCCATAATTTTCTATGTTAGTCTACTATTATCACACTGGCCAAGTGGCTTGGTATATAAATTTATTTCAAGTTTTATACGTAGATTATGTTCTTTCTTGAGATATATATTATATATACAATCGCAATATAGAATTACAATTCTATTGATATTGAGCTTGGCCACCCGCCAAAGAGTAATATCGGAGCCGAATTTGCGGCTTCAATTAAGTATTCATTCATTGCTGTATAAATCTTTTCTATTTTATTCATAAACATCCACTATGGTTTGTCCTCGTTCTACTTGGAACATGAAGTCGCTAGTTGTATGCGCCTAGGACCGCCATTCGTTCTCATTTCAACG